GTTCGTCTTGGCATTCGCTGTCGCATACTGTCGCCAAATAAGGTTCTGGACAAAGTGGGTTCCTCGACGCCTGAAGCACAATGCATTCGTGCTCTCCCTGTGGGCCTGCGTGTGGCTGCTTGGAACCTACCCACTTGGACGCCCCCTGAGCGAGGGTTGGCGATTCATGTTTACGGTGTCCTTCTTCGCCCGCATTGGGTTCTCTTCTGCGTGGATGTTTATCACGAACTTCACCCACAGCCTGCTATCTGTTCACGATCAAGACTTTCAACTTTGAGTTTGTGACTTGTTCATTCCATTAGGAGACCATTGCAATCTCAATTTTGTTCGCATGGTGTTTAATCAGCAAGGTCTTCCTTGGAACGAGTTCCTTGCGCAAGATCCGGCGCGCACCTGGCCGGTGCTCCACAATGTCATGGCCTTTGTCCCCCAGACCCCAGGTAGAAGACAGTTTTCAGTTGTTACTTGTGGTAAGATACAATTGACGGCTATCTTCAGTCGGGCGCTCGGGATTCAAGGTTCTTGGTGGAAAGCACCGCTGGAACGAGATGCTGTTCCATGATGTGCCTCGCCTGATTTTGCGTAGATTGCAACCGCCAAAAACGCAGGTCCACTGCCTTTTAGCTTTCTCTACCCTAAACCCTCAACCCTAAACCCTAAACCGTTTTCCCTTGCCGTTGACCCGTGTCAAGTTGCAGAAGCCCAACTGCCCCCAAAATAATGCGCGCAGGTGCACCACGCTTTCCCGAATGCCGTTGGCACGCTGAGCCAGCGTGGCCGCTTCCACGGCTGGGAGAAGGTCCATGATGCAGCGGCCGAGGTTCTGCACCGCGGCTTGTGGAAGCCCAACGGTGACGAGGACCGGGGTTTGTGATTATATGAGATGTGCAGCTGCTTTGCGAGCATAAGGCAACGCTCCAGCTCATTTGTGCATTTCCTGTCATCCCTCGACAAAAAAACGTGTGTTAGGAGACGCAGATGCAGAAAACGCAAAAGAAGCGCTCCCTGATGATGAAGCAGGGCAAGTGAGCGTTTATACTCATCAAATTTTCGAGCTCTCGCCTAAGAGTTGTCGTCCGCCGCGGACAGACTGGCGGAAGCCTGCTTTGTACAGAGGTTTGCTTGTACAGAGCCTTCCCTGTAAGGGCACCGATCGGTGCCAAGTGGGATAGGCGTGTGGGCTTGCGTGGTCCAGCCCCATCGAGCATTGCACCGCACCGTGCATGGACAAAGCTTGAAAAGCCAACAGCGGCTTGGGGTCCTGGAAGTGTGACATGTCATCCTTGCGTTTGCTGATGTCTTCTGTTTAAAGTTGGCTGCGCTCAGTTTGGGATTGTTTCGGGGAGTTTAAGTTTCAATTGAAACCCTCTAAACCATTTCACTTAGGTGGTTCCACGCGCCAGCTTCTGCTGGCCATCCAGAGTCAAAACACTGGAGTCACTGGAACTCCTGCCTTGCCTGCAGTGATTGGCGTGGCTCAACAAGTCACCAAGTTACTTGTACCCTTTTCGAGCGCCATTTCGTCCATGGCGACCAGCGCGCCGCTGCTGGCCAAGGAGGGCAAGGCCCATTCTCCATTTTTGTGAGACTCCGCACATTCCCGCCAAACCCTATTTTTCACGAACATCCATGACTAGCAATGACTAGCATCCGTGACCGTTGCCAGGGCCACTCCAAGGCCTCGATCTTCTACGGTGCAGATGAGTACCTCGAGGAGCTGA